ATAAAGGAACTTGAGTGGAAATGAATGGGAAAGTTCAGAAATTTACTTACATGAGATGTGAAACTGGAGCTGTGGAGGGTTGGTTGATGGAGATCTGCTGAGGGAGGCTTGTGGAAGGAAATGAGACTTGGGTTTTACTGGTTTGTTTACTTTAGTTTCGAGGACGGTGGTTTGTATGTTAATGTCAAGTGTGGAAGAGCTTCTGCTCCAAGCCTGCAAGCGACAGGGAGCTTTTGGTTGGGTGGATTGTCTTTGACTCTTCGTGAAATTGTCACTTGGACAGCTTGCAATGCCACATCGCTCGTCAGCTAAGAAAAATTTGTTAGAGGCCCAAATTATACTTTTTGGGCCTAATTTGAACAAGTGGATTTGGTGGTTGTACAAACAATGTCATAAAAGCCAATAGGAGCAACTTTAGTGGGAAGATGTAAACTCGGGGGTGTAAATTCATTTTTACATGTCCTTTATATCTTTGATGTAAATAATGTTTTTGCTCTAATGGGGTGGATGTAAATCGAATTTTGTTTGTATTAATATGTTTTTGTGTTAATATTTGGAAAATGTTTGGCTCCTTAAAACTGACGAGGAGCTCCTCCTCAAAATAAATGAGATTATGACACTTGTCAATTTCATTTATTTTTATCTTTTTCCGAAATTCTTTTAATTTTCTTTGTTTTGGAATTTGACCATTTGCTTCGAGGAGGAGCCAAGAAGCCAATAATTTTTTTAGAGTTAATTTTTGTTGTGTTATGTTTAATAATTTGTTTTTTTCCAGACAATGTGGAGGTAAAAACAATGTAGTAAAAGCCATTAAGGGATCGTTTGATGTGGAGGTAAAAACAATGGGGTACTGTCAATTTGTGATGTTAATGATTATCAAGATGAGGATGGTGGCAAATTTGTTTTGGTACATACAGAGCACCTATGTTACGTGTAAACATTAAGGAACTGTGGTGCTGGACAAAAATTTGTATGAAACGGGTTCTTACTCACTCTCTCTATCTCTCTCGTCACGTTGTAACTAAATTTTTCTCATGTTTTTGAGCTAGAGACAAACACAACTACCTCTTCCTCTCCGCACCCTTTCTTTCAATTTCTAATGCAAAGAAATAATCTTCACATGATACTCTTTTTATTTTACAAACTTATATTAATGTATATCATGGTTAAGAAACCTGGACATGTATATCATAGTTAAGAAACCTGGACATGTATATCATAGTTACATTACCCCATTGGGTGTTTAATGTTTTCATTATATCTAAACAGTAAGTGAACTTTAATCTCAGCGAAGAGCATGGTTGTAGTCGTGGAAGTGAAACTGTTTGTAGATAAAGTGAGCCAACCATTTTGAAGCTGCAAAGGATAGTATAGCCATTGCAACTAGCGTAGTTCTTGCAGCCACTGATAACGCAGCCTGCTTGGTTGCAGCAACAATTCCAACTAAAGAAAAAGAGACGACCTGCAACACAACTTCCAGCACCCTCAGACCTTTGTGTGCAGCACTGCAACTGCTGCAGCTCACCACATGGGACCAGTACCTGAGAAGGTTGTGCAAAAACTCCTTTATCATTCAACTATATGACTTTTAACACACTCCAAGTTAGTTCTAAGGATCCCAACACAACCAAATAAAACAAATGCTTGTGTCCAACAATGTATGTGGCAAAATGGCAAGATAAATGGCAAATTTTTAATCAATGTGCCAGAAATTCCTATATCATTTGATTACCTGAAAATGCCAAAAAATAAACTGAAAGAGATTGATTTCAAAATATTTTAGTTGGTTCAGTTTGTAAAACTTGTCAACTAATAGAAAATTTGTTTCCACATAAGCTTTCACTATCACTACTTTAATAGAGTTAACATTATCGCAACACCACCAATTTTTAGCATCTCCAAGACCTCTGTAAGGATCTGCTATCAAAATTTGACAGGCAAGGAGTTAAATGGTTCCTATTTTCTGAAACTAAGAAGTAAACAACAGAAGTTCGAATCCTCCTTCATAGTTGTATGTAAGTTACCTGTCCAACAACTGTTCTCTTGGGGGAGTGGGAGGAAGAGCCCCACTGAACTTGCCTCTCCAATCTACCTGACCACCAGCATACTTGATTAACCATTTTCTGAAACCAACCACAAGGGCATCTGACTTTGTAGGCACAAAACATGCTTTCTGCCACTGGTTGGGGCCAGCATCCATTATCTTACGTTCCTGTAGGAAGAACTCAAGAGTCATACAAGACCACATGCAATAAAATATTGACCTAAGACTATTTCCATGATCATGTGGTTGCACATAGCAACTCCATAGGGTGTTTCTCTTATTGTTTCTAAAACTTGATACCCAAAGCATTACTTTCAGTGGTGTGTGTTGGGGGTGGGGGGAAATAGGTCAAGCTCATAAAAGTTTTAAAGAGAATTAGTCTTTCGGAAGTTCAGCTAATATTGGGCACTGCTCAGGTAAAATAGATCCAATTGACAATTGCCAGGTTTTCTCATTCATTGCCCATCTAGCAACAAGTTTAAAGTTTTGCAAGAAAAAGCCAGAGCATGGTCTTTGTCAACTGAAAAAGTGATGTCTTGCATATTCAGCAAGTGAGATGCAAGATAATTCCTAAACTTCATTTCATACAATAGAGAGTTAGAACTCACCTCAACATGAAGAAGATATAAATCTGAGTCCAAAATCAGGTTTTGTCCAACATGAAAGATCCATCGTGGAACAATCTTATCAATCCAAACGCCAAAGTTTCTTGGGAAGGTCCATATCAATCTGCTATTACCTGGACTAACCGGAATGCATATAAAAATTAGAAGAGCTCTCCGCTGGGCTGATGACACCTACACAAAACAGCATATACATAAATAGATGCACAAAGGAATACAAAGATAAAGGGTATGTGTAAAAATAACGGAAAGTATAGAATAGATGCCACAGTCAGCTTTATATAAAATCAAGAAGTAAATCAACATATTATACTACCTTTTTGGTTCCAGCCGATGATGCAGCCCCATTACCTTGGTCAACCGGATCAAGGGGAGAAGCATAGAACACACATGGTGGCAGAAATTTACTGCGACCCCACTCCTGCTTTGCAATGAAACCATTTTTGTCTAACTTCTGAACACTCAAATCCAATGGTCTGCCCCCTTCTCTATCGGCCTTCTCTGTAAATTAATGAAGTGTAAGTCATCTGAACCTACCATATTACAACGAGAAATTAACGTACTGAATTCAATAAAAATGAAAATGATCCACAAAAATGTATCTGCCTTTGGGTTGATTCGTTCGCATTATTCCATAATGTGCATATGGAACATGAGCAGGGTCCATGAGATTTTCAATCAAGACCTCATACCTGGAATTGCAATTTAGAAATCAAGCAAAGTTATAGCATATCTTCTGGATCTGTCTGATATAGCTAGAATAATTGCATATTCTGTTATATGAAAATGTAATATTACATGTGGATACACCTAAAAGTTATTTGACGTGAAAGAGGAAATGAGACTAGGATACAGATTCACAAGGTTACTTATAAAAGATCATTATCCCTTTCCCTCAGTGGAAAATAGTTTTATATCAGAAAGTGGTTGAAAGATATATCTTTACATACCCGTAAGGAATCTCTCTATTTCCCATTAAACCAGAATACGATGGATCATCTAGTTCTGGTATGTAGGGAGGTTTTTTCTCCGCAAGAACATCTTTGTATTGAGGATCGGAATTCGGCCAAAACCACACAATGCCATTCTGCACAGTACTTGGATAAGCAGCTACACATGCTTTCTTGGATGTGTGAATCTGCATAGTATGCTAGAAGGGTCAACCCTGTTATCTTGTCAAAGAAATAATTCATGCACTGCATACTTTATTCTTATAAAACCACTTCTGCAAACTTGAAAGAACAATATGACTGTTCTGTTTAAGTTCATTAGAATTATGCAAAACTGGGGTATTATATGACATCTTCTAGAAGTCTAGTTAACTTGTATGAAGGTGAGCAAAACTATCAATCTGCTACTTGCATGAAAATTTTTCATTCAAGGGTTTTTTACCGGAGGGCCATCAGCAGGTGCTTGAGGGATGAACTTGCAGTCACCAGAGCCATTAAAACACCAGCCATGATAAACACACTGCAGCCTCCCCCACTGATCAATTCTCCCTTCAGACAATGGAGCCAATCTGTGAGGACAAGAATCATCAAACACCTTCCAAGCACTCTCATTTCTGTCCCACCACACCACCACATCAATACCCAAAACTTTCTTTGCATGTGGCACCCTCTTGTCAAGATCACAAACTGGCATCAATGGGTACCATTGGGCATACCAATCAAATTTCTCTTGTTGGGTGCGATTTTCAACCTCTAGTTCAGGTGGGTTTGCAGGCTCAGTTGAAACAGAAGATGATATGGTGGTGAAAATCTTGAATATTGATATGTTTCTTTGAACTAATGAGAAAGATGAACTGGGTATTGAATTAAAACAGAAAGAAGTGAGTTTCTTGGATTGCGCTTTGTCAAATTTAGATGGAATTTGGAGTGAAGGAATAGATGAAATTTTCAGAGCTTCCATGGCTGCCACAAAGGAAATGGGAGATAGTCCTGCAAGGATAAAACTTGAGGCTCAAAGTGTGAAGCTTGAACTTCAAATTCAGTAAAAAACTTGAGGCTCTGATTGGAGATGGCCATTTTGCCTATATATGTGATCTTTGATAGAGTGGATAACATGTCAAAAGAAGTTAGTAATCAGTGTGAGTGAATGAATGGCTCCACGAGTGACAAGTGGTTAGTAATCACCATCACAGTAATGTTTAGTTTGCTATTTGAGGCATGCCCAACCCAACCTTAAAATGTTTTGCGTGTATGATTTTTATTTGCCCTTTTTTGTTCTTTTGTATAAATTATTGTAGAAGGATGGCATCTGTGTTTCGCGTCCATAAACAGCAACACAATTTTAAAAGGGCATCAAACCCACCAAATACAACTAAGGAAAAAGAAAAAATTTGAATCTTCTTTTGTATTAAAAGGGCATCGAACCCACCAAAATCCTACAATTTGTCATCTCCCTTTTTACAAGATGAACTAATGAAAAAACTGTATACATGATTTGTGTAGGAAAAGAATGACAGAGAATTCTTATATCATCTTTTCTATTCACACAAAAGAATAAATTAATATGGATAAAAAGAAAAAGAATAATAAATAAAGAAATCTATTTTCAGTCATGAGACATTAGCAATTGCGCATGCTCTACTTCCTGTAAAAAGTGGGGAGGACTGAGTTCTAGAATGGTGAATGCTTTTCAATCTCTCAAGTGCCGGCGAGCTTATGATTGCTTCCATCTCCCCACCACATTCTGTCGGCATCAGCACCCTTGGACTCAAACCGCTAATGATCCGAGGAGAGAAGTATGATCTCGAACGGGCTGCGCTTCTTGGGGACAAGTTGACATGCTCCAAAGCTCGAAACTGGAGCTCTGAGGGATAGTCCCTCACACAACCAATGCGAGGTCCAGCTCCTGTTGTCCATTTGCATGACAACTGCTTTCCCAGTTGAAATGATCTCATTCCTTTGTGTGAGTTAATCCTCTTGAGAATTGATTCTTGAGGAATGTCTTCTTCCTCAGTCTCTTCATGGTTTTCTTCAAACAAGTTCTTCTTTGGAACCATGTAATCTTGTTCTGATGAGAGATTTTCTTCTGCTGTTTCATAACCATCCACTGGAGATTCTACAGTTATACTACTGCAACTTGAAGCAGAAGGTTGAGTTTCACTCTTCTTGAAATATCTTTCCCTGTTTGGTATTGCCAGATTAGACAATTTTTTACTAACACTGCAGAGCCGGCTTGACATATGAGAATCCATTGCAGCAGCAGCTTGTACCATTGAATCAGTCTCCTCGCGAGTCAAGTCTTCAACAATGGTTTCTTGGTTCTTTAACTCACATACATTTTCGATGAAGTCCCCTTCAGATGAGTTGCATCTAATATGAGCACTGCTTCTTTTCTTGCTAAGTGAACCTTCCTCTTCCTCCTCAACCGGACTTAACTGAATATAACAGAAAAGAGGGCATCTTCAGTAAAAATGTTTCCACTTATTTTCTCTTTAAGTATATCAAATCATCGCAAAAGAATATAAGTTCTAATTTTCTACATACCTTAACATCTGTGAGATCCACCTTGTTCTCTTCGAGGAATGAGACAAAGTCTCTGAAATTTTCTTCTGTAGGGCGATAATGACCACTGTGAGGCCAAACTGCCTGTAGAAAGTCACAAGAAACCAATGTTAGATACAACGGCAATATCTAAAGATAAGCATCAAAACAATGGTACGTATGGAAAGAGGAAGAAGATTTTACAAGTTTTTTTGTATTATATCCATACCTTAATGATGCCATGTTCAACAACTAATCTCCCAGCAGCAGATGTGGCTCCTCCAGCCAAAAAACTTGAATGCTGAAATGTCCCCTTCTTTTTCTTGCCAACATATAAGGTTCTAGAAGCACTAAGGACAAAAATCCATTTGGCATCATCGAATTCTTCTGTTGTATGGAGGACCTGCCCTGATTGCTTGTAGAAGAATTTTCCATCCTCCACAATAACTTCGTAGGCCATTCTTTCCTTCTATATTAAGAAGAATAATTATCAGCAAATGAAATGGAAGAAAAAACAGATCGAAGGATTATCAATAAGGACATAAAGGCTCACCGGTCCGAGATACTTGATACACTGCTGTTGAAGTTTTGATCGAGGGCATTTTTCAACAAGATTTACTTCCTTCCCTTCTCCTATATCTAGCCAGTAGAAGAAGGGTTCTCTACTCTCACAATGGAGCCAGTTAATGTAATAAAAGTGTAGATTATGTCCATACCGATGCCTTGGGTCAATCTGTAATAATAAAGAATTGAGATCAGTAATGGCTCATAAAAGATAAAAGAAAAGGAAAAAAGACACTCAAATGCAATCAACTTACTGCTTCAAGCCAGTGCTGCAGAGCAAGTTTTTGTGCTTTTTCATTCTTTGATAGACCTTTTCCAACCTGCAGTGACCAAGACATGCTTAATTTTCTGAAAAAATTACAAAAAACTTAAAGTCAAACATACAAATCCGTTAAAAAGTTACCTTCGCAGCTCTGGTCCTTGCTCTAGACCAACGTGAGATGGCAGTTTCATTTTTCTCAATTTCAAAGAATGATATAGAACTCCGCTTGAGCTCAACGAAATCTAAAACCTTCCACCTATATTATTACAAAATTTTGAATTAAATAAGATAGAAACACATAAATTTTTTGCACAAATTGACAAGATTAGAACATGACAGTGAAATACATACCAGTCCTGTTCAACAAGAACCGCACAATCTGCTAGCTTTCGTCTGGTTCGGAAGCTTTTGTATACTTTTTGCAATTTAATTGCGGCCCTGTGTTTGGGGCTGGCGGGATGTGGAAATTGCAAGGGTTGGATCATCCCCAGCGAACTATCTGATCTTGGGGGTTGAATGTTCATCTCTTTGCTAATGGGGCTGATTGGTGCAATGTTCATTTCTTTGATAAGGGGACTGAGTGAAGCAGTGCTCATGCTCTTTTCTAATGAAGGAACCTTAAACAATACCATTTTCTCTAACTCGTTCCCTTTAAAGCTAACAGAAGTTTCTAGTGTCATCTTTCCAGAGCCTAAAGATTTCATTATTGTGGGTTCTGTATCACCACTTTTGAAACTGACTGATCTAACTGGAGTTTTCACTTCATCATCCCCAAAGCTGATGGACTTTACAATTATTGATTCTAACCCACTTTCCAAATCGGCGTGCTCAGCAAATAGGCAGGAAAAGGAAATTCCCATTTGACAACAGAGGGGGTTCTATCAACCCAGAGATTTCGGACTCCTGAGAAAAAAGAGAAAGAATGAGATTCAGTGAATATTCCATATCTGGCAATGCCTTGTATAACAGAAAAGCATCACAGAAGGTACTAAATCCAGCCTTTATCAATGTAAACATGCAGTTAAATTATCCCAAACATGAATAAGAATCCATCATACTATGAAAACAGCTTAGATCTATAAAACCTACAAGAATATCAGGTATACATCCGGATGCAACTGCAACTGTTTTCAATCCATGAAATCCATTTTCTTCTAATATAATAGCACTCATTGTCTATGTGGTAAAATCTACCAATGTAAATAAGTTAAGGAAAGATATAAACAGTACGTACCATCGCCAAGAATGGTCTCATTTTATACTGATACAGAACCCATTGAAAAAGACCATAAATCTACAGAACCCATCACCAAAAATTCTTAGTTTCTTAAAAAAAAAGACAAACAAACATCACTCAACAGAGGATTCTATTCCATTTTGATACCATTTCCACATAAAATGAATAATTTATTAACCATCTTGGATGAAACCCGGCATACAAACCCATTGAACAAAGAGCAGGGATCCACAAAACCCATTACCCGAGAGCGAAAATTCAAACAAAAATAACTGGAAAACAAGCACATTCCCATGAGAGATTAAGATCAAAACCCACAACACCCAGTTCATCAGAAGAGCATTAAAAAAAAACCAACTTTGACCCAAGAAAGAAACTTTTACCATTTGTGCCTCCTCACAGACCAAACACCAAACAAACAAACTACAAGAATAAAAAGAAGAGCAAAAAGGAGATCATTTATAGAATGAAAGGGGAATTCTTACCTTAAAAGGAGGATTTGCGAGCCAACGAAAGAGCAGAAATGGATTATTGTGTATTAATTAGAAAAGAAAGTTCCGAATTTGAATGGTGAGTGATGGAGAAGTTGGATTTGTTTGAGAGGGTTGGATAGTTCTCTCTTTCTTCCTTGCTGTACAAAGCTCCGGTGCTTTTCAAACTCGACCTTTCATTCATGCTTATATATAGGACATCGGAGTGAGAGAGAGTTCACACAGAGAGAGAGAGAGAGAGAGAGAGAGAGAGAGTCCATTTTCCAATCCACGTGGTCATGGGGTTTTACGGGGAAAAGAACCGAAATCTGAAAGTCGTAAAAACAAAAACAAAAATTCTGAAACTTTTCTTCTTGGTGGGTTCTAAAACTAATCTTCTTTCTGGTGAGTATTATTAAACCGTTGTTTTCTTTATTTTTATTTTCTTCCCTCCTTCTGAGAAATTGTAGGAGTTCATATACAAGTAATAATCTTCATACTTGACCAAGTAGGCGCATGTACTCACTATACCTTTTTCACATTATAATTAATTACTAAAATAGAAAATAACAAATAATATAACCACATCTTATTTTTTATAACCTGAAGGTTTCGAGTACCGTCACATAAAATGAAAACCAAAAGTGGAAATTGTGTTGGGATGATTTTGTTCTCTAACATTATCTTGTGGGAAATGCTATCAAATGGTAACAAATATCCCCATTACATTTGTTTGTTCAAATATTATCACGGGATAATATTTGCTTGAAGATTCTTCGTCTCTAGAACTCCCTTCTCTCTCTTTTCCTCAATTCTTGTAAAATCAAACTAGAATTTTTGTAGGGTTTTGGAATTGAGTTTTGAATTACCTTGTGTATTGAATGTAGCCATGTATTTATAGGGCTCTAGGCATTTAGGGTTTTTCAAAGAATAATCTCTAATATATTCTTTCCCCAAATTGTAGAGATTGGATCAAATCACTAATTCACGATGATATCTCCAAATTAGGATGATATCTTATTTTTAAATAAAGATAATATCCTTATTTTTAGTGTCAATTAATTTGTCAAATAAATGGACTCAATTAACTGACCTAAAAGATATCCTTTTTGTCCACTTGTGGCTTATGAATGAAACCGAGACATTTGTTCCCACAATATCTATATGACCTAAATATGTTGTCGATACTGTTAATATTGTCCATTCTATCAAAATAGTAAATAAGTTCATATTTGATATTTTCGATATTGTCAATTTCTTAAAGTAATAATAGGTACTTTGGAAGAGATTGCGACAACAGTAGTGGTGGTATTTGATAGCATTTTCCTTTTGACTTCATCATAATTTGAACAAGTGTTGGTATATTTACGCGTAAGACAGTCCTCCGACATAATTGTGTTTTAAGTAGTAAATATTTTTATAAAGGTCTTGTAGGTCACATCATATTGATGTTTTCGAGGTTAAATAAACAATTGGTTAAGTTAATCTGCAATTTTAATTACTTGCACGCTTCTGCTATAATTTTGATGGAAACTAATCTATGATGTGTACTTATTAGTATATTGTCAAGTAGTCACTTTCACTTGAAATCATAGTTAGTTTACAAAAAGTGCGATTGACTTGAACACAGTCGCCAGCACTGATGTCATTACAGAATTTTCCTAACAACCTCCAATCCAAGTTACTTAACGCCCAAGCTTTTTATCATACGCATAATTTGCGAGAGTAGCTAATTACATTGATGATGTGTTTGCACACGTGGATTGTTTTGGATGTGAGTTATAAATTTGGATTATTGTGCTTCTAATTATATTGAATAATATGTAGGGAATTCGAAAGTGAAAGGTCAGAGTATTTGAAACTTCCATGCATGCGCAAGTTGTAGCTAAGCTAGCAATGTCTATGTCCCACAAGTTGACTACACATCCCACTTGTGGGACATAGACATTGCTGTATATGCATGCATATGTCGGAAAGTGGTGTACAGCAAAAGCAACTTAATTTATGTATATATATCCAATACCAGCAAAATATATATCTCTAGATTTTGGGTAAGTTGACATGACAGCTAGCCTTACTGGGTATTACATATTATATTATATATACAATACATTATACACGCAGCTTCTCCATGCATTCAATATCAATATTATATTTCCGTACGGGAAGAGGAACCCTAGTAAACGTTGGCTTCATCCAAGTCCCAACCACTTTAATTTGTAGTAGGAGGTCTCTTTATCTATGTATGAATGACTTAATTTTTTATACATTGCCTCTTTTTAAGGATGAATTTATAGGATTCTCGGTTACAATACATACAAGATTTTTCTCGCTCAGAAATGAATAGACATGAGGTTTTTTTTTTCCTCTCTATTACAATACACATAAGATTTCTCATGAAAGGGAGAATGAGTGAAACTTTATTGTTGAGAAAATTAGCATAAACTAATCTAATAAAGGGTAATATGAGTCAAATATTGCAACAACAATTGACAATATATTCACAAAGATATGAAATCTGAGTGTGATCTAAAGGCAACCAGATCTGGATTTTCATCATTTTCCTATTGGATATGGAGGTGTTAAAATAACATATGTAGGGAATTCGAAAGTGAAAGGTCAGAGTATTTGAAACTTCCATGCATGCGCAAGTTGTAGCTAAGCTAGCAATGTCTAAGTCCCACAAGTTGACTTGAATATCCCAAAATGCAATGCAAAAGAGAGTTTGATGGGTTAATAACAACAAAAGCTTGTCCTTTGTTTTTGGATATGGAGGTGTTAAAATAACATTAATTTTGGCGTAGTGACCTGTAAAATTGGCGTATCAATTGGCAACGTGTTCGTCAGAAAGAGAGGCCACTTAACAAAACCTGGTCCTTAAGGACTGCACTTGTTTTTAGTTTAGTTTTGGTTTTGGAAGCAGAAAAATAAGTCCAAATGAATTAGACATAACATGGTCACGTCCAACTGTCATCATTTGGGGTTGGGGATCTCCATGCAAGGCGAGAGCTATTCTATAGAATATGGCTTTTTCTTTTTCGACAATATATATATATATATATATATATCTCATCTTTCCTTCTCATCCTTACTCTCATTTTTCTCTACACTCTAGCGCAAAAAAATAAAAATAAAAAAATTATCAAACGGGTGTTTTTTATTTTATTGGGTTATAAAAAAGAATAAAAATGAAAAGGACGGGCAAAACTTGTGTTTTTTTCCAAAACAGTGTGCCTATTTCAGACCCAAAAAGAAGAAAAAAGATGCTTTTTCCATTTATAATGAAGCTAAATTTGTGTGCTACTTTTGCTTGCTATTGGCCATACAACTTTTTAACATCTGTCCTCTAATGGCCAACAAAGGCATATTCTTTTTTTAGTTTAAAATTTTGACCACAATTATAAAGTGCATATACGTAGATTAAGCATGTAAAGTGCATATACGCGTAGCCGAAAAAACCCCAAAGAATTAATGTATAAATGCTGTATATGCATGCATGTGTCGGAAAGTGGTATACAGCAAAAGCAACTTAATTTATGTATATATATCCAATACCAGCAAAATATATATCTCTAGATTTTGGGTAAGTTGACATGACAGCTAGCCTTACTGGGTATTACATATTATATTATATATATACAATACATTATACACGCAGCTTCTCCATGCATTCAATATCAATATTATATTTCCGTACGGGAAGAGGAACCCTAGTAAACGTTGGCTTCATCCAAGTCCCAACCACTTTAATTTGTAGTAGGAGGTCTCTTTATCTATGTATGAATGACTTAATTTTTTATACATTGCCTCTTTTTAAGGATGAATTTATAGGATTCTCGCTCACGAATGAATATACATAAGTGTTTTCTTTTTCTCGGTTACAATACATACAAGATTTTTCTCGCTCAGAAATGAATAGACATGAGGTTTTTTTTTTTCTCTCTATTACAATACACATAAGATTTCTCATGAAAGGGAGAATGAGTGAAACTTTATTGTTGAGAAAATTAGCATAAACTAATCTAATAAAGGGTAATATGAGTCAAATATTGCAACAACAATTGACAATATATTCACAAAGATATGAAATCTGAGTGTGATCTAAAGGCAACCAGATCTGGATTTTCATCATTTTCCTATTGGATATGGAGGTGTTAAAATAACATTAATTTTGGCGTAGTGACCTGTAAAATTGGCGTATCAATTGGCAACGTGTTCGTCAGAAAGAGAGGCCACTTAACAAAACCTGGTCCTTAAGGACTGCACTTGTTTTTAGTTTAGTTTTGGTTTTGGAAGCAGAAAAATAAGTCCAAATGAATTAGACATAACATGGTCACGTCCAACTGTCATCATTTGGGGTTGGGGATCTCCATGCAAGGCGAGAGGTACTTTGCACCGTACGAGCTGTGGACTCGCCGACTATCTATCGGTGCATTAAGTACACGTGTCAGATGGTCAGTCACCCCACGTTGTGCTGCCTGGTATGAGCGGTACAAACATACCTAACACCCAGACAACGAATCTCACGACAGTCGCCGCGCCAGTACTCTAAATATTTCTTTTTTCTTTTTAGGGGAATTATATTTCATTTTTTTATTTTTTACTAATTTGTTGTTGTTCGAAATCCAATCATGTCATTAATTGGCTACACATCCCACGTCCTTAATTTCTAATTACAAGGTTTAGTGAAAGTTAATTTCTTATTAGCTTATGCTTATTCAAATGTTTGTTTTGGAGTTGTTGGAGTTGTTTATCACTAAACAAAAAAACCCTTATGACTCGTTGGTTATAAAGTTGTACGAAATGAATTTTGAATGCATGTAATCACCGATTAATCATAGTTAAGATTTCAAGTTAGATATTGTAGTGAAAATGGTATTTAAAAAAATGTGATAAAAATGGTTTTGGTAGTTGTTGCTTGCTATCCACAGAGACAGAGCAATAATATTATAGATGGTAAGTAACCGTCGAGGGTAGAAGCAAGCTGGTGTATTAAATAATGACAGCTGCTAGAGCTGGATATGCTTTGTTTTGCTTTGCTATATCATTCACATCATTCATATCATTCATGTTTTTTTAATTTTGGCAGTGAAACATCAACTCTATCTCTCTCATACTTTGGAAAAAGTCCCCAAACCCTCCAAAAACACAAAATGTAGAAAACGCGTTTCTAAGTTCAATTTGTCAGCACCGACTTATTATCTAGTATATGCAGCATTGAAGGCATATATATATCGTTATCTTACGTACGTACTTTAAAGTAAAGTAGTGGACCAAGTAAAAGTCAGCTCAACTTGTAAATTACTCTGCTTTTCTATTTCTACACACAAAAATAATAATAATAAAAAAGTGATATTATTCTAGGTAGCTACATTATGTTGACGTTTGCTGGATTCGATGACTTGGCTTTTGCCCTTTTGAAATTAGTTTGCTTCTTTTTTCTTCATTTTTCTTGAGGAAGGTGATTCTGCCGGTCCAACCGGTCCCAAAATGCAGAGGCAAGTTTGACCTAATTTTAATCAGAAAGACAGATAGATACTGATCGATTACTTGCCAGTGGCCATGGCCTACCAAGAAAATATTTTCAGCCCATGCATCATCATATTTAGCTAAGAAAGAGAAAAGATCAATAATAAAATGGACGATGATTGAACCAAAGTAGCTAGCTTCTAATTAACTTGGACCACTTGATTGATTTAGAGTGGGGCCAGGGCCATGGCCATCCATAGAACTAATAAAATGGGTCTTATCCATCTAGATTAATCTCATCTGCACGTAGTAGTCGTCATGAGCGTTGACGTATTGATCCATCATTTTCTTTCAATGCGACCCATTGGGTCTTGTACTTAAATTTCAATTAGGGTTTTACCAAAACCATCATTTTCAATGTTAATGTCTCCATCTCTTTCTAAATTCTATCTAGTAATTATATATTGCATTTGAATTTGATCCGTTCCGTTCCGTTTTCCAATCCATGAACCAGAACGTGTCAAGCAAGTTTAAAGAAGCCCTGCACTGCACGGACCCATCGAAGAGTTTGTCAAGCAAGGAATAACAGATGGGGTCAATTTCTTTGAAACATAATCCAAGTTAAACGAGTAAGTAAGAAGGGTTTCCTTGAAAATTTTCAAACACATGTATACGTGACAAATTGACAATGTCAACCTAACCCAACTCTTTTTCTACCAAATTAATTATACAGAAATTGACATATATTTTACCCCCAAGAATTCTCCAAATTCAACCTCTGCTTTACTTGACAATTAAGTTAAGGACTTATGCTAAAAGTATATATATATTTTGCATTGCATGCCATGCAGAATGGTTTAAAATGAAAGTTTAGTCCAATGCGATTTTGTCAACCCCGGAATGCGTCCCCTAATATGGTTCCATCTTATCACACCCCTTTGCCCCTTTAAATAATAAATTGGTCAGAATTAAATAGCTACCTTGTCACACACCACTAGCTATGTATATATAAATGCATTTGTTTGTTATCCCCCCACTTGATGACGATAATTTATAGCTCGCCCCCTCAAACAAGTTGTGGTGGTTGTTTGACATTGAATGAAGGTACTCATATTAAAAGCCACCCAGGTTGATTATTATTATTCAGCTTAATTAAGATTGACTTTTCTATCGTTAAAATAATGTGTAAGAAGTCAACCAATTAAGCTAGCTAGAAACTACATATACATATACAAATCTCATGTAATTTGTATTATATATATATATATATATATATATTGGGGAAAATGATACAAATTTTGTAGACGTGAGTTGGGCAAGTTAGCTAAAGTAGTGAGTCCGATGTCTGCCTCGTTGCACTGAAGTCTGAATTTCCCCTTGATTATATTAATTCATAATAATTTGGATTATCACTTATAACAAAAGGATAAAAATTGAATGGATATGCATGCGTTAGAGAGCAATCCCAACCTAGTTATCATTAATTTCATATGCTTGTATATATATGCGTTAGGGTACACAATATACATGGTGGCAAGGAGACACACCAAAGCAAGTGGTTGAACTAATTATAAATACACGTAATTATGTTGTTATGACTTATGATGTATCCATTGTACTAACTAAGAACATCAATACGTACGCTTTGCCTATAATTAACTATACATCAGCAAAGGAGCAAAAGGAGAGCATGCGTGCATTATGCGAGAAGACCTACAGCTAAACAAAAACAACATGTTTAGTTGTTGATCCTCAACTAATAATTATATAGAAATGCTAATAACTCTATAATTACATTATTATATACATATAAATCCATGATAATTAAGGGAGGAAAAAGAAAAGCGCGGATGACAAAATGCATAGCCTAGCTAAGGTACTCTATTATTTCATAGTTGTGTGTGCTTGCCTGCATTAATCATATAGTTTGGCACATGGTATCACGATCCATGCCTAACTAATTATGTTTAATTATGCACAACTCCGTTACTTTGTTGATATAATTCAGTCTTGTCTTTCCAACAGGAAATAAAGAAACAGTTTTAGGAAATCAGATTGCATGCATAGCATTAGCATGAGGAGGAGGTTAAGGAAATTAATATAAGCTAGGTCACCGAAGATGTGGTCAACGCACGCATTGTAGATCGATCGATCTTACCTACTGAGCTGAGAGAGCATTGAGAGAGCATTGAGAGAGCAAGCAAGCTGGCATGAATAATTATAAGGAGTAGCACCAACCATTCCCATTCCCATTCCCACTGGTGGTGGTGGATAAAATGAAGTGATCTCAAGTTTCAACAATTATAGACAGCACCACTTGAGCCTAGCCTGCATGGATGGCCGGAACAACATCTACCTATCACGAGCTTAACCTAAATGGTTGGTTGGTGCCACTGCCACTCTCTGACTCTCATGTGATTATTTTATTGTGATCATAATTCAAAACCCAAAAGAGAGGCGGAGAAAAGAAAATGAATCTTAATCTTAATTAAAAAGGTAATTAATGCTGCTATGCTAGCTATCTCATTACTGATGATGAATTACAGGATGTCTTTTTTTAATTAATTAAGAGTCTAAGACTGGGTTGGAAGAAAAAGTAGACTGGGTTTGAAGAAATGAAATGATGAATTAATGACCATTACTGCTGCTGATGCTAAAGTGCAAAGGAATCCGAGGTTTCAGATTTAAGAAGACTCCTCATTACATTACAGTACCATAATAATTATGCAATGTGGTACAACGGAAAATCAGATCTGGCATATGCAAAAGAAAATTACAAGTTTTTTTTTTTTTAAAAAATAGAAAAGTTGCTAGGCTAGCTAGAGGCATGGACCACATGAAAATTATTATAACAATGTTTCTAAAGTCTTCAAGACAAGCTGTATGATTTTCCGGCAAACTGCTCAGTAGATTAGCTGGCTTTGCAATCCCTGCTCATGCCTCATGCCTTATAATTTGGGTGTGTTTAGCATGCATTGATAGAATTTTGAAGTTGCAGATCTAATTACCATTGCACAACATGTCTTATCTTAGCATTCAATCGGAGGCCGCACGTTCAGTTCAGCCCAAACTGGTTTCTCAAAGAGCCCAAATTTCCCATGCACCAGAAATTATTGCGTAGGCCTGATGTGAGCGGCATAAAATCAATCCCATTGCAGCCCAAATGTCAAGTACATTTTTAAAGAAAACAACTCCTCCTCCTCCTCCTCCTCCTCGATTAACTTAATATGCCAACACTTCATGAGGTCAGAGAGAAAAATACAAAATATGATTATTGAAATATGGGCCTATACTTATGTATAGCAATTGGTTGTGGCCCTTTAATTCTGGGCTTTCTGGGCAATCTCCAGTCAATAACCAACCCGCCCCGGATCCGGGGGTTCTTTTCTTTGTTTTCATTCGGGTCCCTCTGTGACTCTGTCTCTCTTCCCCTCTTTGTGCAGATCTGATCTGAAGCCAGAAACGGTGAGAAACTCTGCGTTCGGAGTTGCCTTTCATCAATTTTTAAAGGTACTTGTTTTCATCTTCTGTTTGTTTGATGCTTTACATGTTTCTGATCGTTATTTCAGTGCAAGATTTGATCTTAGTTAATAGATTTATATATATATATATATATATATTATTTATTTATTTATATATATATATATATATATTTTTTGTGCTGACCCAGTTTAGGTTTTATTGAATTGAACCCTAAAATTGGAAAAATTCAATATTGGTGATTGGAAAAAATAAAATTTTTAAGTAGGCATATTAACCAAGTATATTAGAAATTCATGTGTGAGAAGATTTTGATTGTATGGCATTTGTCCTGAATCCTGATAGCGTTTTTGTTCCTCCTTCGTTTAGTGCATATCAACTTAAAATGGCTGGCAGAGCTCATATCCCCACTAAGAGCTCAGCACTTATTGCCATGATTGCTGATGAGGTATGGATAATGTTTGTTCTGTAATCTTTTGATTGAAATCACTTCTTGCATTCTTGATTTGTCTTTCTGTTCTGATGAGGTGATCCTTTCATTCATGTAGGACACTGTAACTGGATTTTTGCTGGCTGGAGTGGGCAACGTTGACTTGCGGAGAAAGACAAATTATCTTATTGTTGATTCAAGTAGGTTATGAGCTTTATTCATGCTTCAAAAGTTGGAACTTCGTCCATACTGGGAATCTGTTTCTGTATGTTTGTATGTGTATGCAGATAGGTAATTGGATGGATTAAAATGCCAATTCTGGTATATGATTAGTAATCTGTCTGTAAGGGGAAGGAAATTGCAAACTTCTAGGGAATGAATTCTATGTACAAAATGATATCTTTCTGTTACGAAATTGCTTATTATTGCGAATTCATTGACGGTGAATGCTTTCCTTCTTCTTTTTCAAGAAAAAAAAAAAAACAGAATAGGATGCCACGATTCATTAGTGATGCAAAGTATAATATTACATTTTTGTCTGTTTAAATTTGGTCTGCTGTGAATGCTTTGGTATTCCTTTTCTCTCTTCTTAACGTGTATTGCAGCGCTTGAAATTAGCCTACAACCTGATACATTAAATGAAAATTGTACTTTTCTTTTCTTCTCTGATTTTTCGATGTGAAAAATTTAGCTATGAATCCGTGTTAATAGTTAAAGCAAAGTTCAGTTGCTGGTGCTTGTTTTCGTATCTAATAGCATGTGCTTCTGGTTTTTTGCGCAGAAACAACAGTGAAAGCAATTGAAGATGCATTCAAAGAGTTTACCACAAAGGAGGACATTGCAATTGTCTTGATAAGCCAATATGTAAGTTCTTTCTCATACTTTGAAGTTGTTCAACTGTTATGGTGATGGTTTTTCTGGTTTGTAAGGTGACATGCTTAGTTCCCAAGTGGTTGCTACACATACTGTAATTTATAGCAATCTTCGTTTGTATTGGTTGTTGGTTGAAGATTCTTTTTCTTTTAGGAAAGAAATGGTGATGGTTTTTCTGGTTTGTAAGGTGACATGCTTAGTTCCCAAGTGGTTGCTACACATACTGTAATTTATAGCAATCTTGGTTTGTATGTATTGCAATGTATTCATTCTTTCCAAATTGGTTGTTGGTTGAAGATTTTGAAGATTCTTTTTCTTTTAGGAAGGAATTGACCTTTTTTCTCCTGTTTCCTTACCAGGTTGCAAATATGATAAGGTTTCTAGTTGATAGCTACAACAAGCCAGTTCCAGCTATTTTGGAAATCCCTTCCAAGGATCATCCTTATGACCCTGCGCATGATTCGGTTCTTTCACGAGTGAAGTACCTCTTCTCTACTGAATCTGTGGCTTCAGGAAGGCGTTGATCATAGAGTATTTTCACGTGGCTTGCACACAAGGGTGAAAAATAAGTATTGCCTTTGATACCATATATGCCCTTCTGCCTTAGATCAACTTCACGTCAAGTGCTATGTTCAGTTGTATAACCAAATAAGATATTCCAATCAATGTAAAGAGGCTAATGATACATTTAGATAAAGCTCCCTCGGATCCGAAATATTTGCTTTCGAACATCCGTCATTGCTTGGCTCCTCTACCGGCAGTCTCTATGTACTCGGATATCTAACCAGAATCATTCATCTGTTAAAACCGCAAAGTTTCATATATTTGACTGTAATTCAAAATTGATATACAGGACCGTGCACATTTGAAGTTTGAAACAGGGGAAACAACAAGTATTTACTTCCTCACTAGTTGGCTAATTGCGCCATGTCCAACAAACATGCTAGAATAGAAACCATAAATAATTGGTCTAATGTCACCACAAGAAGACAAGTAAAGAAGCTTCAAACTCACCCTACCCATCATCATTATTATCGAAAGATAAAAAAGGCAGCTTCAAACTGAAAATCGAATCCTTCTGTAGAATGAGAGGTCCCTAACCGTTGGGTGAGACTGATTTTCAAGCAACTGGTCACACAACGAGAAAAGAGGTGTTGATAAAAATTACGATAATTGTTTCAATTTACAAAATTTGGTGACAACATACAGTCACCATTATTTGGTGACATTTGTTTGGTCAGCATAGAAGTCTTTCTTTGACAATTTTATATTGTGGTGGGTGTTCTTCGCTGAGCTTGTAATTGTGCTCTATGTTATTTCGTTTTGGTCTTTGATTCTTAACTCTCTTGTAGTCTAATGCATGTGTGGCAATCTTTTTCCTCCCCAGCGTTTCCTCCCATGTGGTTTTACTATTCTTGGAATATTAATGGAATTTCCCTTCTAAAAAAATTATCACTTGTCTTGCATTTTTCGATTCAAAAGTATCAATTCATTTTACATAATCAAGTTTTTCTACCATGTCTTTTTCAATTTCCTAATTGATTCAACTAGGTTAATTGATTTAAGCTATAAGTTCAAAAAATAATTCGGTCTTTATTGAGTTTCCTCTTTTTAATTTTGAATTGAATAATTGAGCAAGTTTTTCTTTTTTCTTTTTTCTTTTTTACAATGAATGAGCCTTTATTGAGTTTCCTCTTTTTAATTTTGAATTGAATGATTAGGTAAGTTTTTTTAAAATTTATTTACAATAATTGGTTTGGGCCTGACATAATATTTATATTATATAATATTTTAAAATAATATAGGTATGTATAGGGTATTATACAAATTGGGGGCCCTTGGCGGCCGCCCTGCTTGCTTGTGCCCAATGCCTCCCCTGGTGTCCATTTCAACAATGTTAGTAGCAAGCCATTGGAGATCCAATCCAAGGAATTTTTGTTTTTTTTTTTTTTTTTGGGGTAAATTCAAATATTAGGGCAACAACGCTCAACTCCTCATCATAATAACTGCATTGCGGAAGGGAGGTGGACAAAAGAAGGCAGATTCAAATATTAGGGCAGCAACTCTCAACTTGTCATAAAGTGCTCACAAGAGCAAAACTTGGATCCTCCCTAAAGAGCTGTGTATCATTTCCATTGCCATACTCTAATGTTGTATGAGTAAATATACATCACATTGAATCGGCAGCAACCTCATGAAGGTTAATAAATTCATCCATTAAGGAGTTGAACTCAACTAGTGATCTTAGACTGTGCTCAAATGATATTCCATCTCTCCATCAGACTGAAGCAATATGATATTAAGCACTATGCCTTGGCCCTGATAGCAATAGGAAAGAAAAAAAAAAGGAAATCAATGGGATGGGGCAAGCATACTAGAAAACCTAGAAACAAAAATTACCAACACAGGCATTATGCTGTTGAGAATTATTTTTGAAAATTAGGTGGGTGTTTTGAGTCTAGAAAAGTCAGCTGGGTTAATTATGTTAGATTGAATGCATGAATATTGTGAGCTCTTTAAATCGCCACACTCTATAAAACACCGCTCTTAATAACTTCACTTCTCAATCCCCCCAAAAAAAAAAAAACTTGAAAATGTGATGTTGGATTTGAAATAGGTTTGTAGTTGTAGAGATTGTGAATTTGAGAGCACATGTAGATAATTTATATTTACATCTCAGTTTGGATTTATATGATTGCGGTCCATCCTCCACCTTATTATTAAATCTAGTTGTTATTGGCTGATTTTTCCTGGTGCGGTCTACATTGATGAGTGAGTAACTTGGATTATATGAGTAAGAGTATTCTACAGCCCAACTACCACAACAACATAAGAAGGGTGATCTGTTTTGATTCTTTCCTTCTCCTCTAAAAGTAATTCTTCACTGATTTTGTAGTTTCTGCCTACGCTGTTCTTAGTAGTCTGTTTTTTTTTTGTAACAACAACCGAAAAAAGAAAAGAAAAAGGAAACAAGCAAAAAAACAAAAAAGGAAATATATATATGTGAACTGAAACAAAACAAAAAAGAAGGAAACACGTAAAAAAAAACGGAAATACGTGAACTGAAACAAAGAAAAGCAGCAAACACGTCAAGAAAAAGAAGAAGAAAAGGAAATACGCGAACTCAACACAAAACACACGGTGCAGTATATGTGTTTTTTTTTTGTAACAACAACCGAAAAAAGAAAAGAAAAAGGAAACAAGCAAAAAAACAAAAAAGGAAATATATATATGTGAACTGAAACAAAACAAAAAAGAAGAAGGAAACACGTAAAATATACTGCTTTCTCCCACTCAAAACAAATCCTTTCTCTTCAACTCTCACGAACTTTTGGCAAAAAGAAAAAACTTATAAACTCGAAGGTATAACTATGCCGTACTACAGAACACGGTATGAGTGCTACGAGGAAGTTGAAGATCTGGTAAACGTTGTCCCTGCGAAGGTGACTGGGGAACATACACACGTCGTACAAAAGTATTGTGCCACATCTTTGACCAACAGGAAGAAGGGTTGGTCAAAAAATGGATGGAATGTGCCTATGAGAAACCTACTTCTCAGCTGATGCACGTATATGGATCAGTCAATCGGTCAAAGGAATCGGATATTCTTGTTTTCACTGAGCGCGATCATGAATCGCTCAGTGCTTATTTGAATAGGATAGACCTTCGCTCCAAAAATAATTCCGACCTTTTGTCCACAAAGTTTGCTAAGATATTGAGGTATTTTATTTATATTTATTATTTGTTTATTTGCTTTCAAATTAAATATATTTATATTTGTTTTTTCTTATGCAGAGCTATCTTAAGAATGATGAAGAAAGTTTTAAGAGAACCAGCTTATAGACACTGTAGTGGATGTATCAAGGTCAAAAACATTTATCTTGTCGATGGAGAGCCTCGATTGGCTTTTCGAGGTGGGGTGGAGGATAAAAGTAAGGGCATAAAAAATTTCTGTAAGATGGTGGGTGATATTTGGGAAAATAAGTTTGGGGATCGTACTCTAACGACTGAGTTAAACGATCTGATATCTTCATTGAACATAGCTACTGTGGATGTGTAAGCCTTTTTAACTTTCCAGATTCACTGTCATCGTTATAGCCTTTTTTTTTAACGATGTGATAGAGAATAGTTTTATATTGTAATGATATTATTTTCTTATTTCATTATACCTTTTACTTAATTATGGTGAGGGTTTGCTTTGTTTGTTTTCTGAGCTAAGCTGAGTTGGAGTTTTTGGGTTTAAAAAGTGGATATTTGATTGAATTTCTGGTTTCCCAGCTCAGTTTTCTCTTTTAGGAAATTCATATGCTTTGCTTCTAGGTTAAGCTGATTTTGCTTTATGTTTTGTTTCTTTTGCAGTTGACTTTGTGTTTTTACAAAATATGTAGTTATAATAGTTTTGTTGTTGTTTTGTTTCCAGGAATAGCAGTGTGTTTTTAAATGCGGTTAATCATCCCTCTTTGTTGAGTCCAGAGGAACGAGTGCTTTACCGTTCTAGGGCTTCCCAGAAACTTAAGGCAATGGCTGCCCCGGAGGCGACAGCTTTGTATGCAAAATTGGATGATAAGCATCTAACTGATACCTGGTATACAGACAATAGTTCTAAAGCACAGAAAAGTTTACGAAAACGTCTCAAGCTTACTCCAGCTGAGTTTGCCATCACCTACAAAGACAAAAACCAAAATCCAATATACTACAAAGACAACGCCGAGGGTTTCCTGCGATTCTGCAGGAACCTCGAAGTACATATGGTAAGTTTATATACTCGGTTCGTATGTAATTGTCGTTAGACCGATTTATAAAAGCTCAAAACCAAACCGAATCAAACCATATATGGTCTGGTTCGATTTTCAAATTATTTGACTTTTTCTTAGTTAAAACCAAACCAAATCGGTAATTATGGTTTGGTTCATCCAGTTTCATCGGTTCAGCTGGATTGATGCCCACAGTGGCGGAGCTAGGATTCTTAGCATGGAGGGGCCAAAATTTTAAAATCACTTCCACATAGATTTTTTTATCTTCAATTGGGAGGGCCATCACTAATCTAATTACAGTAATTGTATTGCTATAACATATATTTTATAATATATTACAATAGATTAAAAATTAAATTGGGGGGCCAGGGCCATGGCAGGCCTGGCTATGGCTCCGCCCCTGGACCCAACGCCATTCTGAGGCTCGTACAACTACTTGGTAGTATTTTGAGGAGGAAACTGACTGTTTTGTTTTAGTTGTCTTTCATTTAGGTTCCGTTTATAAACTTTTTAACATTCAGGTCCTACAATCTTTTGTTAGGAAAGTAAAAGCAATAACACCTAACTAGTCATATGCGTCTTTTGGGTTTTCTCTCTTGAGTGAAATTCAATTAGTTGCAGCTGTATTTTCTTTTATTTTAAATTTGGATATATGATTTGGGTTTCGATTCATCAAGAAAGTTAAGCAATTTCCTGTGTAGCAATTAAATGAAATAGTATGTCTTTACTCTGATTCGGAGTTTTATATACAAGTTCTCAAAAGTTCTAATCATGAATATTTGGAAGAGGGCGAGATGCTCAATCTTCCGGGAAATATACAAGATCCATAACCTGCAAAGGGATGTCCACCAAAAAGAATATTAGCTCTAAACTAAACTAAATTGCACCCAGAAAACAATTGTTCATCAAGTTCAGAGCAAAACTTGGATCCTCCCTAAAGAGCCCTGTATCATTTCCATTGCCATACTCTAATGTTGTATGAGTAAATATACATCACTTTGAATCAGCAGCAACCTCAAGAATGTGAGAAATTATACAAGGTACAAAATTCATTC